AAAAAATTGATAAATATGTCAAGTTGGAGTCAAATCAACTGATAAAATCAATTAAAAAGTTGAGTTAGTTCACATTACTTGACGTTTGTAATTAAACGTGTCAGTTAGGATATTTTAGTACTGAATATGAATTCAAAATTTACAATAGAAACTTGACTCGATTGCTATCCCAACAATAAAATAGACTTTGTTTGTCAAATTCGTATATAATCCAATGATATAATCTCTTTGAATTTCTTAACTTGTTTGACTTTTTTCTTTAATTGTAAGAATGGTTATCTTTCTGTCTTGGTGGCTACGAATATGATTGGGCAATGCTCTTTCCTAGGAAGCTGCTTCCATTTGCGAATCATGGCTTGAGAAATGCTTATTTATCGATGGACATTGTTTTTCAGTTCTATATATTTTTATTCATTTAAAATTTAAGTGTTAGTTATCATTCCATTTTCACATCATTTAATTCGTATTTTTGTTTCAGGAAAGTTTAGGGTACCCAAACAAAAAAAAAAAATCGGTACCGTACATTTGGTTATCATTTTTATAATAAAGTTACAATTTTAAAAAAAGAAGTTATAACTGTTTAAGGGAAGACAATGATTAATCACAGATATCAATGATCGATCATGAACTATCGGTATCGATTTCAATCTTCTAAGATCGATCATATTCTTTAAAGTTGTAATTTAACCTTAAAAAATTATAATTTACAGTACGATACCGTCGATGATACCGTAAACTTTCGTGTTAGTTTTGTTTCTCTTTTTTTGGGACAATTGGTATGATGGGATTTGTGTGACGTCATTGTCATATGTATGCAATGATGTAATTAAGATTAAATGATTTCGGAGAAGCCAATATGAATAAGTGTGAGAGGTTATCCTAAAGTGCTACATAATTCACTTAGTTTAACACTTCAATACAAAAACTAACAAGTCAATGCATATAACGTAAGGATAAACACAACTAATTTGGAACCATTCAAACCTTACAAGCAAGAAGAGATAGAAGCTAATGTGGTGGTAATTATTAACCTATCAATACTAATTAATATCCTAAATTGACCAACAAATGGGAGATAATAATGTGACGTTGATAGAGCGATATTGATGGTAATATGACAATGTTTACTAGGTAATACTTTGATTTGACGTTTGATTTTTTGAACTAAAATTTTAAAACTCGATCGTTTTAATATTCAAGAAAATAAAACTTTACATATTTATTTTCATTCTTTTCAAAAATTTGTTAATTGATTGGTCAATATCTTCTTNTTCAAGAAAATAAAACTTTACATATTTATTTTCATTCTTTTCAAAAATTTGTTAATTGATTGGTCAATATCTTCTTTAGCGCAACACCACATTATTTGGTACTATCAAATGATTAAGAAATCGTATTAAACTGTAAAAAGAGATGTGCGGGGGTAAGGTTGTTTACTACTACTCATTTCTCTAACAACCATTTTTGATTTAATTGATCAAAAGGCCAGTTTAGCCACCAACTCAACCTCTACCTACCATTAATCCTCCTAGTCCATGGTCCCAAGAGAGACTTTTTTTACTATGTCTTTTTCAATATATGCAGCAATTGATGAGTATAGTCTGATATCGTTTTGCAATACCACAATAAATGTTTTTTAGTGTGCTCCAATGATCTGTACTGTGACTTTAAACCCAGGATCATGTTGCTTATGAATTGAAAGATTCTTCTGCCCTACATTATCCTCAGGACGGAGGGAGAGAAAGGAGGGAGGGCATTTGACCATTTTATGCAAGGGTATCTCTTGTCACTGTCTCCAACAACCAACCATGGACCTTATCCATTAGGGTACCAAAACGTAATATATTATTCATTTTCTAGAAGGGCATCTCTTTTCGTTATACCAGCCCCTTGAGGACTTGACCATGTACTATGAATATCCCATTCAAAGCCAACAAAGCCACGAAGTAGATAGAGCTGAATTTCTATATGATTATCCAGAGTATTAGGTGACAGTACTTGGGAAAATTCAGGAATTGGTATCACGTTAAGTAACAAAGAAGTTGGATCCATCGAAGAATATTTCAAAGCATCCAATTTTTTTTTTTTTTTGTTTTATGAACACATACAAAAGGATATATTTATATCTTTTGAAGATAGTTTATTTATAAGTGGCAATCATGTCGTGTCAGATTGGATCATATTCGGATCATGTCATTTTAGTTTCGTATCGAACACTAGTCAACCCTAACCCAACCCGTTTAATTAATAGTGTTGTATTGTGTCGACCTATTTATTTTGTTGTGTTGACCCATATAACTTGTGAATAAAAAATTTAATACTCAGTTTTATGTCCAAAATTTTATTATCACTTAATTGAATCTATGCTCATATTTTTTTTAGAAACTTAAAATTAATTTAATAAATATAATAATAAAATTGAGTAAAAAACATTTTCTTTAACACAAGAATTAGGTCATTGATAAAATATAATAAAAAATTAGTATTTTATCCTCATAATACTACATAAATGTGTTACTCGTGTTAATTTTGTGTTTGATATTAACCCAACTTATTTGTTATTTATGTTAACGGGTTAGTGTCAAGAAATGACCAATCCTAACTTGTTAATTTGGTGTCGATTTTGAGTTGTGTTGTGCCAAAAATTGTCATTTCTAATTTTATTTAAGACCAATAAGCCCAAGTCTAAACAGTATTTCCAAAATGGTCCAACATTTAGAAGAGTGAACGAGAACTTATCAATAAAACTGCACTTTTTATCACAATTGATATAAGATTTTAGTTCTAAACATCCACTTTATAAAAAACTGGTCTTAATTTTCTGGGTACTGGCTACAAAAAGAAATCAAACACCTTGATGCATTCTGGGGAAAATCCAAGCTGCATTACTGAAAAATTGTACGCCGGAACCAAATATTTGCATATAACACTAGTTTAAAGTCATTAGAGAGCGGGACTTAGCGCAACAATAGAATTCATTCATTATGACTTGGATCAGATTAGAGTCACATACAAAAATAAGATTATATATATTTGACCATACACAAAACCAACAGGAATGGAGCCTGGAGGCTGCCTTTCTTTTTTACTTGTTTAAGGTCATTATGGGGCGGTCTCAATTCAACTCAACTTAATAAAGCCATCTTAACTATTTTAAGGTTGGTTATACGAATCTTGTTTTTCCATTGTGCTCTATGAAATGTCGAATTTTTCGTATTATGGAGCAGCCCAACCTCCAAAAAATAGCAGCAATGTGTTGCTCCATGGAATTGTGATTTGGTTTTCTAATCATTGGATTTTTGCTAATCACCTACTTGATTATNCGTAACTATTTTAAGGTTGGTTATACGAATCTTGTTTTTCCATTGTGCTCTATGAAATGTCAAATTTTTCGTATTATGGAGCAGCCCAACCTCCAAAAAATAGCAGCAATGTGTTGCTCCATGGAATTGTGATTTGGTTTTCTAATCATTGGATTTTTGCTAATCACCTACTTGATTATCACATGAGCCTTTTAAAGACCAAAACATCATATAAAGTTGTTATGGCCTTACGATATTACTAAAGATAGAGATTGGGCTTTCTAGGCCTCTACCTGGAACAAGAATAATAAGAAGAGGGACCACAAAAAAAAAAAAAAAAAAGGGCCGGGGCATCTCCAACTCAATGAACAAACGTATTAAGACAAAGACTGTCGAATTCTTTTGCAATGGGCTCTGCCGAACCCCGGAACTGACTGACTTTATAAAATCCAAACCTTTTTTTGAATCTGCACTTGCTGTGAAATAGTTTCATATGTGTAATTCCATTTGAGAAGAAAAAAAAATAAAATAATAAAAATTTAATACGAAAAAACTGACTTGTTTCACTCTCTTTAAAGAGGGCGCAACAAAATTCAAATCCAATACAGCAGACCTTCTCACATGACTTGTTCCATCCAATATACAATAATCTAACAGTTTTGTCGTGTATGATGCTAACTAATTCTGTCTAAGTGATTAAAATTCAAAGCTCCGCCATAGAAACACCTTTCTTTGATCTAAACTCCCAAGTGTGTATAGTATGTAATAAAGTGTTGCAATGTNGCGCAACAAAATTCAAATCCAATACAGCAGACCTTCTCACATGACTTGTTCCATCCAGTATACAATAATCTAACAGTTTTGTCGTGTATGATGTTAACTAATTCTGTCTAAGTGATTAAAGTTCAAAGCTCCGCCATAGAAACATCTTTCTTTGATCTAAACTCCCAAGTGTGTATAGTATGTAATAAAGTGTTGCAATGTGTTAGATGATGTTCTATTAGTACTTACAATGCCCATCTTAGAGGTCTTATTTATAGACTATTGAAACTTTCTAGAAATCATGTATATAACTTATTCATATGTACATAATCTACATATATCTAACAAGAATGATTCATGTATGAAAAGTGATGAATACAGGTANCAATGCCCATCTTAGAGGTCTTATTTATAGACTATTGAAACTTTCTAGAAATCATGTATATAACTTATTCATATGTACAAAATCTACATATATCTAACAAGAATGATTCATGTATGAAAAGTGATGAATACAGGTATAAGATAGTATTTATGTACATGTATGTGATAATATGATACATGTATATGTACGATACATTGTATATATAGATTCATGTATATATATTAAATATTAATANTATAAGATAGTATTTATGTACATGTATGTGATAATATGATACATGTATATGTACGATACATTGTATATATAGATTCATGTATATATATTAAATATTAATACAATAAATTATATATAATATTAAAATTTACCAACATTTACCATACCAATGAAGCAGAAACATTTTATTTCAGGATAGTGGTAGTTTTAACCTCAGTTACAGAAAAAGGATATTTCATCACAAACAGACCGGCTCAGTCACACACAGACAGAAAAAATAAATGTTTCAAATGTTCACATATGACAGATATGGCTCCCTTATTCATATCACAGAGGATTTAACTAAGCTTCACCAGAATGAATGGCAACATAGAGACCTTCTTCTCCTTCCACCCCAACCTCCTCATGGCTCTTTCTACATTCATGGTAGAAGACTGTGAACACCACAAACATGGAGATTTTCGCCAGGCAAANAACCTCCTCATGGCTCTTTCTACATTCATGGTAGAAGACTGTGAACACCACAAACATGGAGATTTTCGCCAGGCAAAGTGCCCAGACACCACTGATCTGGATGGCCAACCTCACCCAACCTTGTTTCTCTCTCTTCCTCATCAGGACTAGAGAAATTATAGAGACAGTGCCACTAGCAAGAAGAAAAATCAGCATCAGAACAGAACCCTTGAGGGTTTTTCCTTTCATCAGTTCTCTAGCTCTGTGAATGGCTTTTAGTCCACCCGAATCGGCTTCCACAATGGAAACCACTACACAGAACATGAAAACGGCAGCCAAATAAATATAACAGGCTACCTCGAAAATGGCCACGACACGATTCAGAAGAATCAGTGAAAACACATAAGAAATCACTGAAAATACTCCGACAAGGATTGAGAAAAGAGTTATCATGGAAAAACTTAATAAAGTCGCGTAAAAGCTAGTGATTATTGGCCTTGTCCACCTTCCTCTAATCATTAGAAACGTATCTTTCAGTGTTAGAACTTTTGCGGTGTAGGCTTCATAGGTGGAGGAAATTGTAGCAACTGAGGAAAAAACTAAAATGGAACAAGAAAAGACCAATATTACTGATTGCAGTAACAGTAAAAGGACGACATCTTTGATAATTCCTCTGTTTAAGGTTTCATCAGTCTCAATGATACCGCGTGTCATGTGATCCAGACTTGTCAACTTAGAAGATAAATCTGTAAGTATGGGTGTCAAAGCTAGGTGGCGAACAATTGTCAACAGAGAGAAAGAAATGGAAACATAGATCATGATTGAGACCAAAAGCTTCCCATTTCTAGTACCTATTCTGAGGGCTGCCCAGAGAATTCCCAGGGTGCCTAAGGAAGCTTGTGGTTCTTTGGTGATGAATTTTTCTTGAAGGACTTGTTTCTCCATTTGATTTTTTTTGGGGGGGTTGAGATGTTCATAGGAAAATGAATTTATAATGCAGTTAGTTTTGGCCAAACTTGTTTGTCAGTTTCCAATTGATCCACCCTATGTATTCATAATAAAACCGATCGAGGCTGATAATTTCTAAGCTGGATGGGACAAATAAGTTAGTGTCAGCTTTAGCTGTTAAGAGTTATATGGGTAATGATTGGAGTAATGAAAAGGAACTAAGATAAAGATGTATTTCATTTAGAGTAATGTTGTTCAATCTTAAAAATTTGATCTCATTTAGAGATATGAAAAAATGAGGATTCCGAGAGGAAACAAACAAACTGGGTTGATTACTCTTGATAGTCTTAAGATTTTGACATCAAGGAGTCAAAGATCAATTCTTTCCAAGGGTAAATTACACTATTAATCCATGAGGTTTGCCATTTGTAGAATTTTGGTCCGTAAAGTTCTAATTTAACCAATTTGGTCCCCAACCTTTACATATTTGACCAATTTCATCCCTAGTCCTAACTTTCGTCTCAATGGCCAACAGAAAACAACATGTGAGGGTCGCGTGAGGGGGCATTATAGCCATTTTGCCTATTTTCTCGCCTTTTTCACATCTCATGTAGCCTGTGATTTGCACATAGATATGTCATTATAAGAACACACATTTTTCAATTTATGTATCACCAATCTAACCTTATTCTTCAACATTTGACAACTAATGTCAAGAAAACTTTGTATAAGTAGGGAACCATTGAAAGATTGAAGCTTTGTATAAACACTACTCATATTCTATTATGGGGCCCAAGAAACCAACGATATGATATAATGTATGGTGCAAATACATTTGACATGAGAAATTTGGATTATGACTTGGGCAGCATAATATTTTTGTAAATCTTCTGCTTTAATAAAGCTTTTGATAGACTTGCCAGTGGGCTCCCTCCATTTGTTTGCAGCAAGATGACACTTTTTTTTTGGTTCCAAGAGCACTTGTTTAAGAGCCTACACATTGGAGTCTATTCTTTTTGTTTTCACGAGGTAAGAGAGTGGCTCAGTGATAAGGTTCATTCTCGCCCCGGAGGCGACTGTGGATTCCAACCTCATTTTCTTTCCCCTCCTTATTTATTTTTTTGTTTTTACTCCTTAGAAGATACATCTACATTCTTTTCCATAGTTAGAAAAAATAAAATTGAAGGAAAAATTTTAGTTACGTTC